TTTTTTGGTTTTTCTCCGGTACCGGGAACCGAACTCACGACCTTGCGCTTGCCAGGCAGGCGCTTTTGCCGCTGAGCTAAATCCCCAGCCCCCTAGAAAATGTATTTCTAAAAAAGTCTACAAGAGATGATGATTTGAGTGATAACAGTACAGCTTATACAAATGTAGAATATACTCTGGAAGTATGTAAGACTGATAACTTTTGTGAATGAGCTGAGTGTGGGGTGTGAGAGGGAAAAGTCAAGGGGATGCATCCACAATTTTATGCCTAAGCAGTTGCACAAATAGTTATGTCAGTTACTGAGATGGGAGACATTGAAAGAGGAAAACATTCTGGAAGAAGACTGATATAATCAGGAGTCTTGTTTTTGACATGCAAAGTTTAAATTTCTATTAGATGTCCACTGCATACGAAACACACAGTAACAAAATAAACATAGAATTTAGCAGTGAGGTTGAGGCTAAAGATTATAAATATGCGAGCATCAACATATAGGTGGGGTTTTTTTTGGAGACAAGGTCTTGCTATGTAGTTCAGGGAGGCCTTGAACTCACTCTGTAGCCCAGGCTGGCTTCAAACTCATGGAAGTCTTCCTGCCTCAGCCTCCTGAGTGCTGGGCTTACACGCATGCACCACCATGTCTGTCCATAGATGCTTTTAAAAGCTATGAGACTGTATAAGATCTCTTAATTTAAAACACAGACTGAGAGGAGAAGAGGTTTTAAGATGAAGTACTGAGGCACTTCGGCATGTAGAGATCTGGTCTAGGAGTGTGCGAGCTATAACTGGTAGGCATGGTGTCCTAGGGGTCATGAGAAGAGGCCCCTATTGCATATCAAATGCACTGGGAGAATAAGGTGGTAACTGAGAACTGACTACTGGACATGCAAACATAGGCACTGTGATCTTAGCAAGAGTGGGGTTAATGAAGCTTACTGGAGTGAATTCACGAAACAGCGTGAAAAGGAACTAGACAACTTTTTTGAAGACTTTTTTGAAAGAGAGGATTAGGGCAATGCTTAGGGAGAGACACAGGGCCATAAAAACACATAAAAGAATATGAATAGTTAATATTTGTACATAGGGCTAAATTATAAAGCTATCTTTTTAAATAGAAAGGATATATTTTATTTACCTGTTTCCATTTAAATCAGGGATAATATATCAACGATTTTATTTAAAATATTTGTTAACAGAAAAAAAGCCAGTATTTTGAATGTATACTACTTACAGAATTGTGATGTGGGATGGTATCCACAAAAGACACCTTCTTATCCACAGGTCTTAAACGTTGTCTTGGTTTAGGTCTTGGTGCCTAAGATAAACCAGTATGTCAGAGTAGGTTTGTTTTCTTTTTGTAGAGGCATTTGGCTATTTAGTTTATAAATAAAGTTTTATATTGAAAGGAATTTTAAAGTCACATCTACTCACTACAGCTGGTGTGCTAACAGAGGACGATGGAGGTAATCTTTGAACAACTTCTGGCTCTTCCCTGCTTATCAAATTTCCTAAGTTTTCAGTAGTTACCGATCCACTTGGTGGAAGGTAAGCAAATTTCCATTTCAATATAACATGGATGGTGCCTGCAGGATGTTTTCGATGATTTGTTAACTCAAATATTCCTGTCAGATGACAAAAATAATTTTAATTAATTCTAGTGTAAAGTTTCATTACCATCTGAATTAAAGAGGAACAAAGATCGACCCTTCAACTTTAAAAATAATTTTGATTTTTACTTACAATTCAAATGTCTTACAGAATAAATTAAAGGAAGAGGATCTATGACATGTTCATCTCTTAAGCAGATTTCTTTCAGAAGTAAGGCCACAAAGATAACACTGATTCAACCATGAGAACATTAATTTATAATATTTTAATATACTGAAATTAAATTTAGAAATTATTCAGAATTCCTAGCCTTTCTCTAAGACACTAAATTTGGGTTATGGCTCATATATCAACATTCATTTTGACTTGAATATTCTTGCAAGAGTCTTGTTTCTAAAGAAAACAATACTAAAAATTTCAAATAATTTATGTTTATATTTTACTGGTATTTATTAAATTATTCTAAGGTAACAGCAGAACTGCAACAAGTTCAAGAAATAGACAACCTACAACAAAGAGCAGTCACAAAAAGTATCACTTAGCTGAAACTAACATTGAATCACAAATTTTAATCACTGTACTAGACTTTGAGATATGAAAAACCGGTGACTGAAACCTGAAACTTCAAGCATAACTTTTGTTTAGGGGTATCCTTTTTTTGGTCCTCAGGTATTAACATTTCTTTTAAAGGCTAGCTAGGAAAACAGTGCAAACTCCCAAATATCCGAAACTCTAGGCTGGCTGATTCTCTTTCTTTCTTTTTGTTTCTTGAGATAGGGTCTCACTATGTATCCCAGGCTGGCCTTGAACTCACAGCTATCCTCCTGCCTTAGCCTCCCAAGTGCTGGGATTACAGGCTTGTACCAATATGCCTTGTGGCCCAAAACTCTAGGCTTTAGGGAGAACAAACAGATGTAGGTGGAAAACAGGATCGATAAACTTCTGTAATAGGCACAAGGAAGACTTGCACTGAATGAACAGTTCAGTAAATACCCTTCTCAAACAGCAACGATAAAAGCAACAAAGTGGTAAAAGAAACAAACAAACAAACAAATCTAAGGACTCTGGAAGTTGATCAAAACTTTTCAACAAATCAAGAACCATTTACTCAAGAAAATGTACTGAGCCTTAATAAAAACATGTCTATGGGACCGCTTGTATCTTCCTCCTTCAGCTCTACAGTATAGAAGGTCTACCAAAGTTGGGTAGGCTATGAGAACTGGCAGCCTCTGTGGGAGCAGCTTTACTTTATATGGAACAGGATGTAGATAATTTTATGACCAGGACATTGTTAAAAATAATAGCAATCTGTGTGCCACACAGTCAGGGAAGGCCAACATCTTAGCCAGTCTGAATACGGGAGGGGACAACAAAAAGACCAAAAATAAGGCAAAATTTCAAGGAAATAAGGCATCCAATGTGGACCTTAATAAGACCCTATTTATGTCCCCTGGAATGGAAGGCTGTGGGCATATACAAAGCCACGTGCAAGCTCAGAAGGAAGCCAAGAGGATCCTAGCAAAGTATCTGTCCCTGGTTGAATGATAGGTCTCACACTGGCAAATACTGAAAGTAAAAGTAAAGCAGATTTACAGATTGCTAGAACTTTGAACACATTCCCTAAGCTACAAACTGACCTGTAGGCAAAGGGACAAGCCTACAAGCTAAAGGTATTTATGCATACCATTAAGATATCCTGACCTGGCTGACCATTAAGATATCCTGACCTACGCTTAAAAATAAAACAAGAACAAAACAAACAGAACTTAGCAGAGACATCAATGGCTACACACAGTGGGTGAAACAAACTCTAGAATTAGTCTAGACAAGTCACCAAACAAACTAGAACAGTGACAGTAAGCTCCTGGGGATATTGTTACACTGAAATGTATTACCTAAAATGTCCAGTTTTCAAAAAATCATGCATTGTGGCCTAGGGTTGTAGCAGCTTAACTGTAAAGCACTTGCCTACGGGGAGCCTGGGTTTGATCTCCAATGTGCCCCCCCATCAAAAAGAAAAGCAAATGAAAAAAAGAAAAGAGAAATTCAGGAGTTGTAAAGTACAATATTGAAATGAAAAATACTCCAAGAGGGGCTGACCACCAGATTTGAACTGGCATAAGAAATGATCAACAGACTTGAAGAAGAATCAGAAAGATTATCCAATCTTAAGAACAGGAGAAAAAAATGAAGAAAAATGAACAGAGCCTTGAGAAACTGTGGGACACTATCAGTGCTACCAACATATGTGTAATGGGAATCCAAGGGGAAGAAATAAAAGGTAGAAACAATAATTGAATAAATACTGGCAGAAAACTTCCCAAATTTGGTGGATAACATTATGCTGCACATATAAGAAGCTCAACAAATTCCAAGTAGGATAAACACAATAGGATCCACATCTAGACATAATAATTAGTTTCAAAATGAAAAAGAGGCAAATCTTGAAAACAGCATCAAATATAAGAGAACCATAATAAAATAAATATCTGATTTATTATTAGAAACAATGGATGCAACAATTAGTATTTGATATAATAAAAGTGATGAGGGGGGCAGGCATGGTGGCACATGCCTGTAATCCCAGCACTTGGGAGGCTGAGGCAGGAGGATCATTGTGAGTTTGAGGCCAGCCTGAACTGCATAGCAAGACCCTATCTCAAAAAGACAAAAAAAAAAAAAAAAAAAAAAGAGTTAATTAAAAAGTGATGGGGGGAAAAACAAACAACTGAAATATATATCCAGTGAGACTATCTTTCAAAAAATAAAAGCAAAATAACAGTATCCCCAAATCGCAATGATTGAAAGGATTGACTAATAGCAGACCTGACTTACAATATATATGGGAAGTTCTTCAGCGTAAGAAAAAGATATGACATGGAAACACAAATCTACAGAAAGGAAGAGAAACTAGTGAAGTTGATTACATAGGTACCTATAAAAGACAATAAAAATATACACTGTTTTTCTCCTCTTAATTGATTTAAGACAATTACCTAGAAGTTATAGAATTATATTGTTAGGCTTATAACAAAACATGTGACAGTGATAACACAAAGAAGGGGGGGAAAGTAGAGCTATATTGGAGTAAGGAGATTACATAAAAGTAGGGAAATAACATCAAATCCACAGAAAGAACAAAAGAATACCAGAAATACTATGCAGGTGAATATCAGAGGCTCCTAAATTGTATGTATTCCCCTTTCTCTTAATCTCATCAAAGGAATAAAAGTTTACTATGTAAAGCAATAATTATAACATATTTTTGGTTTTATTATGTATAGCCATACTATATACATGTATATGAGAACAGTACGATTGAGAGTGAAATGTCAAACAGACTTTCTACATTTTAATGGAATTAAACTAGTATTAATTTTAAGCAGACTATGATAAAATGCATATTACAATCCCTAGAGCAATTGCTAAGGAAATAAGTAAAAATGGTATTGTTATAGGCCCAAAATTTAAAAGCTGTTTGAGAAGGCCAGGAAAATTAGTTATAAACAAATCATAGGCATAATAATGAGGAAATTTAGGTTTGCTTTTACAATTTCATAAAACCAAGAACATAGGCTTACCTGAGATACACCTGTCATGTGCCAGTGAAATCAGAGGCACACTGACTTTTCCTATGTAAAGATTCTCCTGGGTATCACTATCATCAAACACATAAAAACTCAGAGACTCTGACTTAAGGTATCGATCCAAGTCCATATTCATTGGCACTGGGAAACACATATGGTCATCAAATTGTGGATCACTGCTACTGGGAATGATGGCTGTATCATGGTCTGCAAAATCGAAAAACTTGTACACAACATACGGGTGTGGCTGCAGGTGGCTTGCTCGGGACTGCAGGTGGCTGCAACATCTTATTGTAATGTGAAGTTCATTTAAGTCCCCATCTGCGGAATCTGCTGAACTGAGCTGAGCGGTTTTGGGTGCTTGCTGACTTAACTGGAAAAACATACATATTTATATTATAGAAATAGTACAGGTAAGATATAAACAGCAGCTGCCAACGCCCAAACAAAATAATTATGTAAAATGACAAAAGGTGCATATTTTCACCTCAAGGTTAATTTCTTAGTTACAATAAATCTTTGATTCTTTTTTAAAACCAGTATTTCTTTTTTTTTTTTTTTGGTTTTTCTCCGGTACCGGGAACTGAACTCACGACCTTGCGCTTGCCAGGCAGGCGCTTTTGCCGCTGAGCTAAATCCCCAGCCCCAAAACCAGTATTTCTTACAATATGTGTGATTAGATGATCCTGGGCTATTAGCAATAAACATGGGAGACCAAAGATACATGTAAAAATTGGTGCTAAAAACAAATAAAACTAAGAGTTAACCTGACGTTCATTAGTTTTATTTAGTAACTAAAAAATAAAGTGAGCAGTGTATCTAAAGAGAAATGTCCTGATTAAAGGAGATTCATTTGCTCACCTTGAGTGATGAATGATTATTTTGCTATATTTGTATGGCCCTCTTCCACCATAGGGGTTTGAAGAAGCACATAAAGTATCTGAATCCAACTGCTATCAGAACAAGAGAACAGAGTCACACATAAACTTGGGAGGGATAAAAAAGCTAGGGTTGGGAGGACATTTCAGAAAAGTGATAAGAAAAAGGAGTTGTTAGGCAGAGCTAAAAGCTATTCTATGGTCTCTTTTGGAAAATTACTAAGATGGCCAGCAAAGAAGAAAAAAATTGTACTAAATGTTCTATAGCTGATGAAATCTAGGACAGAGAAAATATTAGTGTGCTGGGCATGGTGGTGCACACCTGATCCCCACAGTAGGGAAGCTGAGGCTGGAAAATCGAGGCGAACTCAAGGCCAGCCTGGACTAGATAGATAGTTCAAGGCCAGCCTGAGCTACAGAGTAAGACCCTATCACAAAAAAAAAGAAAGAAAAAAAAAAAGTTAGTATTTTAGCGATTTGTTTAGTTTAGTGCTGGAAAGGTCTTTAATTTTCCACAAAGGAGCCCCTCTGCATTTATGAATCAAGATTGAACAGTCAGGACCCCTGACTTGGGAAGAAGTTGCTTAGAGAGGGGAAAAAACAGAGCAGCTGTTATAAATCTCCTTAGTGGAGACACCTGGTGGTATGGAATGGGGAAACCTGGAAAGGAAATTGCAGTATGGCTTTCTCTGGGGTAGTTTGCTCTGAGTATAATTATTTAAAAAGTATCCCCTCTACAAATCTAATTACAAAAGCTGAAAGTGCAGAAGTAAATGACTTATGCAAGCCAGAATCTGGGAGCATAAAAACATTTAAACTACAAAACCAAACAAATATTTGGCACTGTAATAATTCCCATTTCCCAAAGTGTGTTGGTGAAGAATATTAACCAAAAAAATGATCTATGGGAAGGAGATGCCATTGTTTCTTAAGTTTGGGAATTGATGTTATTATGTAAGTCATGGTTGGTTAAGTGAAACTTACAGAAAGCAGTCCATTTAGCAAAAACAACAGAAAGAGGACTTTAATATAAGGTTATAAGGATACTTCATGAAAATCTACAGCAGAAATATGATTGGCCCTTAGGAAGATGGCAGGACTGAAAAACCATCAGAATCTACTCTTTGGTCTCCATTGATGATTATTCATTCCCTTTAGACCTGTTTTTTTATTTTTTAATTTCCTTCTGCTAAGACAGTGGCCAAAAATCCCAATGTTACATGTTTCAGGTATGAAGAGTTTTGTTTCTCTTGATCGCAGAAGGCAGAATTTGATTGGACCAACTGGAAACAGGTGGATATTCTTAAACATTAGTTACAGTTGGATGGGGTGTAGAATAAAATAGGATTATCTGACATGAACCTAGCCATAGGGGTCAGGCCCCATGGGTAGGGGGTGCGTGCAGCTCTGAGGGAAAAAAGTTATGACCCTAGATTCTAAAATGTTTCTTCTGTATGCTGTCTCTCTCTCACTAAACACAGGTGGATACTTTATGCCTCTGATTGAGGAATTACACCCCAAAAAACATTACACATATGAAATCCTGAAGTCAAGAATCCTACTTTGCTCAGTTCAGTGCTTTCTGCATTTACTGGATCATGGCATTCATATGTGGGAATATGGTCATTAAGGTTCCATAAAACATAGTTTGGAAAATAATGCCTTGGGGAATTACATGTAAATTCCCAGATCTCAACAAGAAAATATTCATTTTGAATTCTACTTTGTATTTCAGAAATCTAACATGTGAAAAGAGTATGAAAGAAGGATAGTAAGTGCTAGTCCAATATTAGTTATCTGGTCTTTAATAGTAGAAACTGTTAATGAAAGACTTTTCTTGCTTTTTTTTTTTTTTTTTGGTTTTTCTCCGGTACCGGGAACCGAACTCACGACCTTGCGCTTGCCAGGCAGGTGCTTTTTGCTGCTGAGCTAAATTCCCAGCCCCTTGAAAGACTTTTAATGTGTGTTTAAATAATATTGCAATTATGTTTTTTCAAAAGTTTCCTGAGTAGCACAAGGGAAGTTACTCTGTGTTGATGGAATAGTTCTGAATCTTGCTTGTGGTGGTGGTCATATGAATCTATTCACATGATAAATCCGCACAGAATGACAACACATGCACCAATGAGTGAATGTAAAAACTGATGAAATTTGAGTAAGGTATATAAGGGAGGTATTGTGCCAATGTTAATTCCCTGATATTATATAAGACGTTATAACTGGGTGAAGCATACATGGGACCTCTGTACTAGTTTTTGCTACTTCTTGTGAGGCTATACATATTCTGAACTAAAAAGTTAGAAGAAAGCCATCTAATGGCTGCAAAAGAAAGTGATTTCAGTTTAAAGCATAAAACACAAGGAAATATTTTAACATTTCTTTGTCATAAGAGCCTTCAACTTAAACAAGCTTACTGATTGCATTTGCTCTGGCCCCTTAAAATTTGATGTTATATATCCCAAAGCCTTTGCTCGTTCTTGATAAAGTCGAATTGCTTGATCCATGGGAACTCTTAATTGGAACCAGTACTCCACTGTGCCAAAATTTGGGATGTCTCCTTCAGTTCCTACAAATCAATACATAACCCACTGTTAAAAGTCTCCTGCGTGGAAAAAATACATCAATGGTATTACGCATTAAATTACACATTTTGTACTGAGGGAAATAATACGACTTGCATAAATGACATGTGGTAAATAACAGATGAAGAAAATGGTTACATCTAAAGTATGAGTTTCACTGTATATTAAATATTAGTAAAGTGCTGTGTCAAACTATGATTGAGATATTCCAATTCATACTGTTTCAATGCTTCTGAAATATAAAGAAAAATCTAAACACAGAATCAGATACTCTATATTCTTTGTGATGGTATAGTACTTTTTAAAAAACAAGTTACACTCAATCTAGTTTGACATTTACAATATGCAACCTCAGAATTATAAATATGACATTCCACATTCTAATTCAAGTTTCAAGAAATTTTTGACATCTTATAATTTCTTGCAAAGAAGTAATATAATAACATTCAAGTACAGGGGAGAATGGCATAGTAATGTTAAATATTGAGTTTGCCTAAAAATGTACACACATTTCAGCAGTTTACCATACTAATAAATGTCTGGAAGCTACTGGTCACCACTTTGAGCATGTCTGATAATAGCAAAGGCCAAAGATAACTTGGATTAATCTCATGATGTCTCAAAAAAATTAGGATTAAAATATTTATACAAGTTTTTCTTTTCCTAATGTATACACTTTTTAGGCAGACTTTGTATATACTGTATTCAGTACAGCCTTGCATGATATTTGCCTTCCCCACCCTTGGTATTCATCTCAGCTCAGGCAGTTCTTCATTTTCTCTGTGAAGACTTCCTCTTAACAGCCCTATGCTTCCTGTGCAGACCTTGCATGTCCTCACTGAGTGCTTTGGCTGTCTCACAAGCATACAGCCTGTATACCAACCACATGGAAAGTTTCTTGAGGGCAAGGGCTGCAGTTTCCACCCATGTATTTCTACCAGAGGGACTAGTACATAACGTTAAGTGTTTGTCAAAAAGAAAATATTCTCTACATAAACTTTTCTGAACACTTCATGTTAGTAAAATATTAACCCTTCATCAATTTCTTTCTTGCTAAGGGTCATTCTTAAGGCATACTAACCTGACTTAATATCTGCCATTATTTATTTATTTATTTTCTAAAAGGTAGGGGGATTTTACATTTATTAAAGGTAGGAAAAGAAACATGCTCTGCAGAGTGAGTTTGGGCCAAAGAAAAGAAGGAAAAAAAAAATATGCTCTACAGAGTAAGAGAAGACCACTGCGAAAGAAAGAGCACAGTGGTGACTGACCCATACCTTTTTAAAAAACCTTAAAAGAAGAATGATTAACATGGACACATATTTGCTCATATATGGATAAAGTATCTGGTAATTCTGTAGTCTTTGGGGATGGTCATGGCTGGAGAACAGGAGAGGGAGAAGACGTTTACACCTAAATGATTTTTGAGTCATAAATATATTATATATGCAATCACTCAATCAGCATAATTAAAAATCCTCCCTAGACACTAAACCACCCTTCTTCCTTTTTGAAAGAGTCCATTGGGCTTCTGGGATACCTATATTCTTAGTTTTCCTCCTATAACTGGCCACTCCTTAGTTCCCTTTGCTTGTTCTTCCTCTTTCTGAACTTAAATTTTTGAGTTTCCCAAGGTTTAGTCCTTGGCCACTTTCTCTTGTTTAGCTATATTCAATTTCCATGTGATGTTATCTAGCTAGAAGGCTTAAAATACATTCTATAATGTGACAGTTAATCTTAATTGTTAACATGATCAGCCTGAGAGACTCCTAGGAGATTACTAAAGCACATTTCTGTGCTTGCTGGGCTTGGTCACAGGGGTATGACGTTGAGGACTGTATCAGGTCCTGGGGCCCCTTTCTTTCTGGTTCCTCCTTACTCTGCTTCCATAAGTTGAGTAGCTCCCCTCTGTCATGCCCTTTCTCCATGAGATTTCTGCCTTGGAGACAGCTGGCCATGGGCTGAACCCTGTGAAACCATAAGCCAAAATAAACCTCTCCTGTTCTGGTTGCAGATGTCAGGTATTTTGTCCCAGCAATGGGAAAGCTGATTAATACCATACACTAATAACTCTTAAAAGTTTATGTCTCCCTCTCACCCTTGAGACTATTTTTCCAATGGCCTACGTGACATTTCCATTTTGATATCTAGACATGTCCATCTTAACCTGTTCAAAGGAGAATTCTTCATTTTCTTCCTTGGATTTTTTTCCTTTCTTAGTCTTCCCCTTCTCAGGAAATGACATAACTGTTCACTTAGTTACTCGCGCTATAAATATTTGCCTCCTCTGATTCCTTCCATATCCCACATTTCAGTGATAAGCAAATTTTGAAGAAAGAAATCATAAAATGCATACTAAACATGACCATTTCTTATCCTTTTTATTATCACCCAAATCTAAGCCATCATCATCTTCCCATACATCATGCGAATAGCTTGAGAATGGTCCTGTTCTCCCTTCTGCCCACTAAAGACTATTCTTGTCACAGTACTCAGGTTGAGTTTTCTAAAACCCAACAGAAATCCAAACTCCTCACTATGACATATAAGGCTCTAGAAGATGAACTGGTCCCTGTTTATTGGTTTAATTTTATCTTTGCTTAAGTTACTGGTCCTCTTGTTTCTCCTCCAACATTCATGTTTTGTTCCTTGCTCAGATCTTTGTTTTTTACTCTTTTCCCTGCCTGAAACATTCTTGTCCTATACCATGGAATGGCTCTTCATCCAGGTCTTTATCAATGTCAGCGTCTCAGGGAAGCCCTTATCTGAACTAGCCAACTTCCAACTCTCTCTTTACCCTCTTGCTTTGATTAACTTTTTGTCATATCTGACAACATGCATATTATTGCTTGTCTTCCCCTCTAAAAGTTTAACTAAGCTACTGTCTTTTTTTTTGTTTACCCCTGAATGGCATTCCTAATATTTAGTACCAATGATAACATGTCTTAAAATTTGGTTAATATATCATAATTAATGTTTAATTAAACAAGGGTATGAATATAGTAAATAAATACCTGAACTTGCACTGTCCAAACCCAAAAGGGACATTTACTGTATGACAAGATACTAAAACACCAACATATATAGGCCAAATTAGCGGTTTAAACACTGAAAACTTATAAACTATACTTACCAACCAAACTTGCTGTTGAAAATATTCGACCACTTTTTTCCAGGATTTCATGGAATCTCAGTTGACATGCTGCGATTGTTTCATAATCTGTGCTGTAAGCTTGGTGGACCTCTAGGGTGATAGTATTCTTCTGAATATATTGTAAAAATAAGTCATCAACATGAACAAGATATTGAGAAGTAAAGTTATATTTTGGGTGAAGACCTCGCACTATGGGAGTTGTCTGTAGTTCAAAATCATAGAAAGCAAAGGTACAAAAAGTGACAGGCTCTTTATCTCCAGATGCCTGTAAAACTTCAGAAGAAAAGGTTACTTTGTTGATATGGATTTCAAATAGATTTTCACCTCGTTCTAGGTGGACGGTCTCATCAAATTCATCGACGGAGTCATCTGGCATGATTTCTGGTTTAAATTTGTACTGCTTGGTGCCATAGGCAATATCCTTTAGTTGGGCTGCAAGAGGAGACACACACAGTTTAGATGTTTTAAAATATTGACATATGAAAATGCAAACTGGTCTTTGAAGTGCTAGGAGGTCTGAGTGCTGTTAGTGAATAGTCTCAAACTTAAATTCACTGTTTTTCTGTAATACTTTATTAAACAGAAATTTTATTAAACAGAAATTCATTGTATATTTTTATATCATTTACTAAGTGACAAAAAACTACTACAAATTATATACAACTATAATTCTTCAATGTAAAGTTTAAAAAATTATGACTCCAGTTGTAATACAGCCTAAACAAGGGAAAAGTAGAAACGGAAGAGCAGGCCTCTGAACAGACAGCTAAATTCAGTACTTGGATTCCACCTGCTCCTCTGCTCTATTATATTCTCTCCTATAAAGTCAATTGCTCTTGGGGCTGGGGATTTAGCTCAGAGGCACAGCGCCTGCCTGGCAAGTGCAAGGTTGTGAGTGCGATTCCTGGTACTGGAAAAAAAAAACCAAAAAAAGTCAATTGCTCTTTTCACAGGCTCCTTCTTTGTACCTTAATAAGGCATAGGAAGTGTGACTAAAAAAATAAAATGTTTAAAAATTTATGACTGTAAAGACCACTGCAGTTAATCTCCTTGAAAATGCTCCCCCTCACTCTGAACATTCATCCCATCATTCTCGCCATTTTCTGAAGCAGTTCTGCAAGCTCTCTTTCACGAGTGTCTTTGATTTGACTGCTGTGGCTGCCTCAGTGTCACTGATGGACTGAAAACACTTGTTTTAATGGTCATTTTGGGGAAGAGCCAGAGGTCACACTGTGCCCAACCCAGTGAATCAGGGGGAGGAGGGCACACTGTAGTGTGCTCACAAGCCTGCCTTTCTGTTGGATGGCACTTGGCAACAGCATTCTCTGTTTTTGATCACCTTATAAATACATTCATGACAAGGCACCTTCCAGAACTGCTCCAGAAAGTGGTAAGCATGATGAGGTAAGTGTGTCTGAAGTGGATAGTATTTTGAGGGGAGTTAATGATGTTGTGACTTTCACACATATATTTTAAAAAAAATTAAAGTCACTATATATTTTAATGACACCTTGTGTGTGGGGGTGTTTATAATCTTGTCAGTGGTGAAGGCTTCAGAGCTGTGTATATAGGTCCAAACTCACCAAATTGTATACTTTAAATGTGAAGTTTAAAGTATAGTAATTATACATCTTTAAGGTATAATTAGACAAATCTCTTTATATACATTTTCCTCTAATAATACACTCAAATGTATACATGTGTCTCCAACTACTCATAGGACAGACTATCACGCAAATAGAATCTGCTTTACTTTAATATGAAACTACTACAGAAAAGCCACCAAATAATCAGTTAATCACCAGATTCAATGAATACTGGACCTTATATTACTTGATTTTTTTGCTTCATTTGAGATTAATGAACTTTTTTCTCTACCTTGGTTTCCAAGTCACTATCTCCCTTGCTTTTCTTGTTTCTCTTCTCATTCTTTAGGGGTTTCTCTTCTTCTGATAGTTGCTGGGTTTTTAATTCTTTTCTTAGTTCACATATTCTCATGGGTGATCTCATCTACTTTTATGACTTTTGTTATAATAACTATGCTGAAAGTGTCCACATTTATATTTCTAATTCAGATTTTCTTTCTAAATTCCAGACCTATATATATATCTCTAGTGCTACCTCTCAAGATGTCCTAAAGGCACATCAAACTCAATATATCCCAAATAGAAGGTATCATATTACCTGCTATTTTTGTACTTTTGAGTTTCAGGTAATGGTGTTAGCATTCATCCAGTTGCCCAAACTAGAAGCCAGAGTCATCCCAATTACCTTTTTATGTTACTCTACTCAGGTCTACAGGGTCACTAGTATTCAACATTATTTCCTATATCCTTAGCAGATTTGTCTTTGTCCTATCTTCACTATCTTTTTTTACACTTTCACTTTATTACCTAGATTAACATAGAATTCAGAATGTTTCCTTCCTTCACATCTCACTCATTTGCCCAATACTGGTAGCACAATGTCCAAAATGCCATAGTAAAAAAACATGTTAAAAGTGCCATAGTGGCTCTCAAGGCTAATAAGGTTTAAACTTATCAGGGTGGCAAACAAAACCCTCTCATTTTGTTCTTTTGGCCTTTTCTCCAGGTTGCCCTCCCTTTACTAATCCTGAGCTCCAATTAGTTGAATCTACAATGCAGTTTCTCAATTGTACTGAAATATTTTATGGGGTAGTTTTACTTGTCTTACTATCTGGAATATGCTTCATGACTTTCACTTAGAGGTGAACCCTGTCTTTTTTGTTGCGGGTGTCATTTTTAAAGATTCCCATACTTACTGTGTGAAGTCTTCCCTGAAATTTGAAGTAGGAATAGGCATTTTCTTATCAGTGTTTCCTGGATACCTGGTAAGATTTAAATGTGTCTCCCAAAGTTCCTCTGCTGTAACTTAATTCCCAGTGCAACTGAGTTGAGAAGTAAGGCTTTTACGAGGCAATCAATTCATGTAGGCTCTGCCCTTATGAACGGATTAGAGTTGTTTATCACTGGAGTGAGTCTGGTGTCTCAAGTGTGTTTGCTGTGAAAGTGAGCTCAGTCCCCTCATGCTTTCTCTAGTGTATGCTTTTTTGTCCTTCTGTCTTCTAACATGAGATGAGGGAGTGCGAAGATGCTTGTAGAAACAGGCCCTTTCAACTTGGACTTCCCAGCCTCCAAAACGGTAAGAAGTAAATCTCTGGGACTGGGCATATAGCTCAATGGTAAAGCCCATGTTTAGCATGTGAGACCCTGGATTGCATCCTCAGAATAAAACAAAACAAAACAAAACAAAGAAACCTTTGCTCTTTATTAATACCCCATCTCCAATATTCTATTACTGTAGGACACATGGACTAAGACAATACCCCCTGCATTTTCGTAGCTTCACATTCTTTATTGTAAAGTATAACCATCTCTTTATTCATCTACATCTTAAGAGCTCCTTGAAGGTGGTGCCTCAGTTTTTTCCCTATTCATATTCTCACTGGCTAGCACTTTGCTTAGAATGCATCAGGAGCTTGACCATGTTTATGGAATGAGTCAATGAATTTAGGGAACAGACTTGGTAAGACTTTAAAAGGAGGAAAATTTTTAATTCTGTGACCTCCTTTTTAACCAAGAAAATTCTATTAGGCAAATTTTTATTGAGTATTACTTGGAATAAAAGGTACACACTGCTCCTTGACTTTTGGAAAGCCCTGATCAGTGAGATAAAAATATTTATTTCATCCTTCTTCATATAGCAGAGCTTCTCAAAGTGTGGTATGGGAAGCCCCATACCACATCTCTAAAATTGTGGTGTGAGTCTATGGGATCAAAACAACTTTTACAATAATACTAATGCATAATATCACAACAGATTAAATGCAGAAACAGATGTAATAATACAGCTGTTTTCTATTAAGCCAGGCCCTGAAGAGACTTACAAAGATGCTAAAAATCTAAAATAATTTTTAAAAATTTAAAATGATGCTACTTCCTCTTTTCACAAGTGTTTTGAGCTTTTTGGGAGATTCTAGTAGGGAAGCACAGCTATTTGTACACCCTTGCCTGAAACCAGTCTTCCTTGTCTTAGGATTGACATACATGGGCCAGTGAGGCAGGAAGAGGACACCTACCTAGCCAGCCAGATTAGCTGAACCAACCCTGGTGATCAAAGAGGTGACAGATGTCACAGCCAGATCACCCTCACATCCTTTGCAATTTTAAGATATAACTTTATAAAAAATAAATATTATAATTTATGTTAATGTATAATATAGTTATTTAATTTTAATTATGCTAACATGAGTTATTTGAAATATTTTTCAAATTTCTCAATTAATATGATAAACATCAACTAGTATGTCTTGTGACAAGAGACCTTGGAGATCCTTAATGGTTTTGAAGAATGTAAAATTGTTGCTGGTGTAGATGACTGAATTAAGTCTTGTATGGGTGTGGAAATGAGTCTAGTACTTATCACTGTGGAACTTCTATTGTGGTTACACAGAAAATGCAGGACTCCAACAGCTAAAGATCACTTATGTACTCCCTAAACATGTTTTCTGATTACACTGGAGAAAAACTGGGTAGGTAAGTGTCAAGCTGGTGTTTTTTAATGTCTAGTTTCACACTTGTATTTGAATAACTTGCAGTGAATAGATGGAGTCATGGGCCCAGAACCTCTAGGCGAGGGGTCCATAAGCCACATCCTGAATAAGCTCCCAGGTGATTTTGAGTTAGATTCTGAAGCAGAGAAGAGTGTATATGGAGGTCAAGGTAGAAAGTAAGTTGAGGCAGAGCCATAACAAAAGCAGGGTAGTGGGACAGCGCAAGATGAAGCTCATGAAAGCAAGGAGCCCTATTTGGCTGAGGTGTGTAGGCTGCTGAGAAGAGATATCACAAAGGTGGCGGTAAATGTGAATCTGTGGCATTTTATGAAATTCTTTGAAATTGTGCCTGTAACACTGAATTTAAAAAGCAACGGGAGCTTAACTTAAAATTTCTGAGTAGGAGAGTCAAATGGAACTAATCTTTCCAGTAACTTATAAGTATGAATTGGGAAAACATGCAGCAAGAACATATTGTGAGTGAAGATCTGGATGACATTTCCCACTTTTATAAATTCACTCCCTTCATTACTGTGGCTAAAAAATTGTGTATGCTGTACCTTCTAGTTTCTGGATGCGTGCAGCCCTGATATCAAGGAGATGAACATATTGTTCTACTTTGAGTTCATAATCTTGCTGCAAATTTTCCATCTTATGGGTTACTGCCTCTACTTCCATCTAAAAAATAAGAAATCATAAGTTTAATATTTATGATTAGTTTCATTTTCCAAAGCTACTATGATTTAAGCATTTTCTAGATCTTAGACTATCCAGAGTTATAAACCATGGCATTCTGACCTCCAATAGCTTATCATTTAGAATATTATGTGTGGAAATGTTCAGAAAACAGTAGTAAATGAGACAAAACTCAAGGTTTCTTTTTATGAAGATGAGTTTCATTTCATTAAAAGCTAACATAGGTACTTGTGGCAGGACTGCCAAAGGGTAAGTGTAACTCCTTTGCAGAATATGCTAACACTATAGAGGTAAGTTATTGGCACTATTCACACCCTAAACCAGGGATGTTAAAGAAATTGTTGGCTTTTAAAGTATTTATTCTGACTACTTAGTCATAAGGCGAAATTCCAGGGATGTGGTAATACATAATAACAGTGATAAGATGATAATAGATAATAACACATGATACTCCTGAAAAAACAAATTATCAGTTGAATGTGACAGAAATCCTATCCTCTCAATTTAGTGTATTACATTACCTGATAATCTTTATTAATCTTATGTTGCATTATTAGCATGTTTCTTGTCTTTTCAAGTTCTTGCACTGTTTCTGCATGAGTTGCTTGTAGTTCTCTCATGGAACGTTCTAGATCTTTACTAATTTTATTGTCAACTTTCTCTAAAAAGGAAAGATCACCATTTTTTTGTTCTTTTTGAGCCTAAAATGGAAATATGTTTTATTACTTCAATAAGAATTTTTAAAATGTGATCATATAAATAAATGTTGATATAGTAAGAAGTAATCATTGACTAAAAATACCTATTTCTATTTTTCATCAGGAATAAAGCAGTCCTAATACATATATTTCAATGAACATTTGGAACAGTTACAGATAAATACAACATTTATCACTTTATGACATGAAAAGAATCATGTACATTTATTTCTATTGCTTCATTTGATTAAAATGTACATTTCAATGTAAAAGGAAAGACTTTTTGCCTTCTTGTAAATAACAGAATGTTCCAGAATTAGAAAATATCATCTTATTATAATTCAGTATTTTACCTAAGACCTTGAAAGCTCAGGCCTCTTAAGAGTAGAAAACTGTTCATTAGTATTATAATGAGGCAAGTGAAAGTAAAATGCTGGTTATAGTTAAAGAAAGTGCTTCAAATAATAATTTCTGAAATCTAATTTCATGTAGCCTTGATGTCATTTGAAATACGCATATGCTGTAACTAAGGTATCACCTGACCACTTTCCTGAGTCTTAGTAGAGTTGATGTGTGATACACACACACACACACACACACCCGTTTGTAAAAGATGCACTAAATTTCAGAAGCCGTGAACATCATTCACTCTCCAAATATAACTGTTTCACACAAAAGTCATCATTATGTTCAAACAGATATTGCAAGACATCAAATCCATCATGAAGTTCAGAAAGTTACCTTTATAAGCAAGAGAGCTTCACTTAGTTCATCAGCACTAATATCACTCTCCTGCAACAGATTAAGTAAAAGCTCAAAATGAGATATTAATGGAAAGTGCAAGACATCTCAACTATTCAGATTATTCTGACGGTACATAATAAGGTGCCTAACAGTATGAATTAATAAATTAAATATAAAAGAGACATTCTAACTATTCACAATACTTGCACAAAACATAAACTGCCTGATACTAAGAATGAAAGTATCCTTTTGTTTTGAGGGATGGTGTTTTCTTTACGATAAAATATGTAAATAAACATTTTGAGTTTGCTTCCTAAGTAAGAATGTAGTTCACCTGGTTGAAAAACTTCACGCGGTTTTTAAGTTCATCAAGTTGCTGCTTTTGTTCCAGATACTGTAACTGTAGATCTCTATTCTCTTGAATGAGTTTCTCATTTTGGTCTTAAAAATAAAATCAACGCAATTAGAAAGGTAAGTGGAAATTAGATCTAAGAACACATTTTAAATTAATTTAATTCCTGTTACACACCAAGCTTGATCTAGTATTGTTCAGGTCAGAGAGGAAATTGAGCTAGCACCTAAACAAAGGCAGCAAGGAAATGAAGAACAAATGAACACTATCATGTGTCTACCATATGATTCACTTACTTATCAAAAATTTAAGACTTAAGTTCATAGTATTAATATAAGGAAATTGTGGTCTCTGGGACTTCAAAAGAACATCCTATTTAAAATGCCTAAGAATATATGTTGCTAAATCTATGATTTTTACTTACTTATTAAAGGTCCTGTAAAGCATGCAAAAAAGAATTTGTCTTTTAGTTTTCTAATCGAATGCTTTGAATTTTCTTTTTCCAACTTAGCATAAAGTCTTTGCACTAAAAATAATTTATCTGATAAACTGTGAATCCATAATTTCATCAACCATCTTTCTAAAAAATCTGTTCCAATAGATGAAACCGACTCTCAACTAGTGTAAGGTAGTGTCAATATTAATTCACATGTGTTCTTTATTCACTCAGTTCATATTGTTAATTAACAGGACACAGACTTATAGATATTATCAACAAATGGATGACTTTTGGGTTTTCTGCCTATGTACTCATTTACCATGACCCACAAACAGGGATACAAAACAGAGTTACAGAAGACCGCAAATTCATAAAGAAACTAAGCCTAATTTTTACTCTGTATTAAACATATTTAACTTTTTTAAAAAGCATAATAGCTAGCTAACAAATGTACTGCATTCTTTCGTCGCACGTTTTTAAGTGTGCTCCTCACTAGGGTTTATCGTGGCAGCCAGTATCCTCCTTTGTTGCCTCCCTGTGGACTAACTCTAAACCCTGTCATCCAAAGTGTCTCCACTAATTTCATTCTGCTCCCAACGATTTATGTTTATCATAAGTTCTCAATTTAAGTTGTACATTTTTGTTTCCTTTTTGTAAAAAAAAAATCAACACATTTGCCAAGAATTCTTTCCATGAATGCATTTGCATTCTGACTGCATTTCATACAAAAATATGTTTCTGACTTTTATAAGGCTTTGTGTTCTCAAGCTATAAATATCACATATAAGTAAAAATGTTAAATTACACAGTTAAGAAATGGAATAAACTTGGATGGTTTGCATGTCACATATTTCCTGACAATCTAAAAGTTCTTAAAAAAATGCACCCCAAGGGTCTACAGAGATACAGAGCTATTTTAATATCAAACATATAAACACTTACTGATGGAAGGTTAAAAGGTTAGCCTATAGTACAAGTTGCTTATATCTGATGAAGTAAAAGAATTTTCAAAAGTGTGAAATACTTGGAAGATTTGAAGATAAACAGCTATTTAAAATTAAAAACTAGGGTTAATAAAAATATAAGTTCTTATGAGATAAGCTTTTTTTGGTTAGGGATAGAATAGTATAGGGCTTATTATTAAATCACAAACTAGACAGAATGATTAGGTAACCAAAAAAGTAGAGTCAGAAGGATGTAAAACTAGAAATACTGAGGGTAATATAATTTCACTCTATGACAACAAAACATATACGGGTTCTAAGAGTAAGCTGAAGTATAAAGTGCAAAGTAAAGATAATTATTCCATTCTCGCTCAAAGTTCTATGTATTCTGATTATTACTTTTATGCTCTAGTTTTTCTCCTCTAAATTGTTCAGAGCAGAATTCCTAAGAATGATATAGTAATAGGTACAAATGAACTTGTTTAAACATTTCCATCCCTCATTCACTTCTGTTTCAAGAACTACGTCCCCAGTCATGATATTTTTAAAACTAGGGTATTATTAGTGGGAAAATAATTTAATGGGAGAAGACATTGCTGAGTACCAGTAACCATCTCTCTACTGAATTTATGTAGAATTGTACACTGTATTTTCCTTTCTCAAACTGTTTATTGAGGATATAATTCTTGGGTTTTAAAAAGTACTGAAATGCTACAGTTAAAAGAGGAAATAGGCTTGCTGAATTATAATATGAAAAATCGAAGTGCTCTGTACAAGATGAAAAATAACCTCCTTACCTTATCATTTGACAAAAAGCAGGTTAAGCTAAACAGCATTTTATTCAAATGAGATAACATTTCACTCTTTTAAACTTATGTTCTTCTAGCACACCATTAATAAGCAGAGTGCAGAGAACAATTCAACTAAACAATTTTCAGAGCTCCTTTGTGCTAATATCTTCAGCTGTGATCAATATAACCATATGCATTATGCTGAATTATGCATTTCAGCTAAAGATAGAAAGGAACTTTCAAAAGCAAGCCCTTAAACACATGCAGTTAATTTAAGCATTAACCAAATGCAAGCTGCATTTACATATCCTTCCCCCGCATATTCACACAATCTGAAACTAATTTGTACCTTGAATAAAGAGGTGAGTATTCTTTAAAAATAATTTGCCAGTTAGATGAATAACTACAAGAAGCAGGGAAACATCTTCTGGCAAAGAACATTTGATACATGAAAAGGTAAATGTGTGAAGAGACTTCAAAGTAAAATTAAACAATTTCAAAATCTGTAACAGAGAAGAACTTTCTCAATCTTAAAAGATTTCCTTCAGTAGACAGTTTCAACTTTTTATTTATTATTACCTTGGAGAAAATGGTTAAAAGCTGTAGTATTTTTCTTATAACCTATTTTAACATTTTCTATAAAGAAACAAAATTTAAGTCTTTAGAATTCTAAGTCTGAACTTTTCAAAGAAAAATAACTAGAAAATAAAATTTCCTTTAGAAAATAATTGGACATATATATAATGATTTGTGTAAGAAGATGTTGCTTGTGGTACTTAAAATGAAGTTACTTAAACAGTCACCAACATAAGACTGTTAAATGATCTATGGTACATCCATCCACACACTGAAAAACTATAACAATCATTATAAATGATGATGATGCAGATATAAATTTATACTCAAGAAATGATTTCACAATACAGTTAAATAAAAAACACATTACTTAACTCTGTCTATACATAAAAAAACAGGTCTGAAAAGACATTCATCAAATATTAGCAGTGATTATGTTGAGGGTCATGAAATTCAGTGATTGGACTTTTTGCATAGTGTATGTGAATTGTAATAGTCAAAACCCTCCAAAAGATATGTCACTAAAGAAGATGAAGATGGAATAGATGAATTAAAATACCTGAGCTGTAATACTTAATGACTATAAGGTCCTCTCAGGGTCATTTTAATAACAATAAACAGGTTTAGTAATAATAAACAGGTTTAGAAAACAAAACAGATTCTACCCCCTTCAGAAGAGATTCTTGGGCTGGGGACACAGCTAAGTGGTACAGCACTTGCTTAGCATCTGTAAGGCCTTTGGTTCAACCCCCGGCACATTCAAGAAAAAGAATTTCTTTTCAGAGATCAATTCAGATGCCTAGAAGATAATAGTTTAGGAACTCTTGATATCTAAGGAAATATAGCAAGTATAGAAATATTTCATTTCCCTTTCCTTTAAGAATGAGCAATTTATCTGTTTTTGGAAAAGAGCAAAAGAATACGGAGCACTTTCATTTCCTTCAGTGAACAAGAATTTATCAAGCAACTAACTATTAAGGCAAAGCATTCTGTTGGGTATTTGATACTATACAAAAGCCCCACCAGGTCAGAAACCATATCACTGTTTTACTGCACTCATAATCTTTTAAAAAAATTCATAAATAAACTGTCATCAAATTTAATCACTTGGTGAATAAATATTGACTACTGTGTTTCATTGGAATAAGACTCCACTGATTATAAGATGTGTGCCTATTTTAGACTTTTTTTTTTCTGAGACAGGTTTAGCTATGCAGTTTAGGCTCGAACTGGCGGTAATCCTTCTGTCTCTGCCTCCCAAGTGCTTGGATTACAGGCATGCACCACCACAAGGCTTAGACTTATTAAAATGTAAAAAATATAGCCACAAGATGCTATCACTTAGAAAATGAATTACAATTTTAGCAATATTAAAAGGTAAAAAAAAAAAATGTTCCCTTTTGTCAGCAAAATATGGCACTGTCACCTAAATCAACATATAAGAGTAGTGACTACACTTTTTTAACTGATTCCGTATTAAACTTTTAAACATTCTCATGCAACTGAATTGCCAATATTTCATTTTTGTTTTTGTTTTTGTTTTTTTCCAGTATTGGGAATTGAACTCACGACCTTGTGCTTGCCAGGCAGGTGCTGTGCTGCTGAGCTAAATCCCCAGCCCCAAATTGCCAATATTTCAAAGAAGCAACTTTCTTATCAAAGTATTTGGTTTACTTAGTGCTTGAGCAAACAGATACAAAACTTGAACCAAGTTATGTACATGCATGTGTAGATATCTTTAAATATATGTTCAGATGTCTTTAATTATAATCATTTTATTTCTATGAGACAAGAAGGGTGAGATCTGTGACTCATAACATGAAACCTACTGATGACTATTATTTTGGCAGGGATGTTTCCACAAAGTTTCCTAGTATTTAAGCTCATGATCACAGAACAGAAGCAGACATCTCACAGAGATCTTCCTTGTCCAACCTATCAAAAACAGCAAATAATTTCCACCACTCTGTCATCTTACACTGTTTTGTTTTTTCTCATTGCATTTGCCACTACCTGGCGTATTCCATACTTACATAATTACTATCAGTTTCTCCCTGTTAAATTTTTGTTTTATGAGGGCAAATACTTAGTTCTATTCATTGATATAGTCCCAGCCAGAACTCAGAACATTGGGTATGACATATTGGTGCTCAATAAACATTTGTTGACTGTTGAATAAAGAAAGGCTCAAAATTCAGGAAAATTAAACAAATTCAGGACATCCTGAACAAAAGTAAATCTGAGGGGGAAAATATATATATATATAAAATAATAAAAAATATATATAAAATAATAAAATAACAAATATATAAAATCATCATCACCATCATCATCTTTTTTTGCTGAGTAAGGGAAGTTTTGAGCAAGTGATAAATCCATGAAAGTGGGTGGCTGTTAATTACAGGTGTATTCCTGGTACATAGCAAGGTACCTGGCAAACAGCAGGCACCACAAGTACTGATTGATTCATAGGGTAAACATCAGATGTATGAAACGAGTAAGTCAGCAGCTGTTTTATTCATACCTCTTTCAGTTTTTAATCTGTCAAGGATTTCAGTTTTGTCTGTTAAATCAGATTTTAAGGCAGTCTCAAGCTGAGCAATCTGGACTTTCAGCTGCTGTTCCTTTAACTTCCATTGCTCTTCATGGGCAGCACCGAAGGCACTGCAAAACACACGTGACAGGCAAGGAAAACTTGGAAATCAGCATCAACCAAAAATAATAAAGAGCAAAGCTTTTAGTGGCACAGAGACCACTGTCATCATGTCTTAGGAATTAAGTAAACATATGCTGGTCTGCTGCTGTTGAAACCAAGGCGCCTTTCTCAGGCTGCGGTTAGGGAACATGAAAGAGTTTGTGGGATGAGCAAAGGAACTGGCCTTAATTTAGAGCTCTAAAGTCAGAAAAGTTGGCAGTGTGTAGCTTATGTGGGGCTAGTAAAGGAATTCAGATACTGTACATACTCCAGAGGAATCCACAATTCCAAACCTCAGCAACTGACATTGGATAAAACCATTTTCTCCCACTTACAAACACTCTTAAGCCTGAGAAAATGGACTTTCTACCTGATCTGTAATTCTGTGAAATTTGTAAAGTCTGCAATAATAACATATTCACAGAATGCTGGCCACAAAATTATAGCATATGAACCACAGGACAGCAATTCTCATATTGATTAAGAAGTAGTGATAATGCAGTTTTATCCTAAAAATCAAAAAGCAGTAAGCCCAGAACAAATAATTTTACTTGCAACACATGACTGGGATAAAAATGAATGCCTAATAAGAATGACAAAGATAGAATTACTATTCCTTAATAAAAGTGTAGCTGTTTTAATTTTTGTTAAAATTTGCTAATAATCAAACCCTACCACACCATAAGAACCAGATAAAAAAATATCTAAATGGTACACAGAAGGTATACAATAAACATTTGTTTATTTACTGCTTCCTGAATGCTGATATAAATAATGGTGTTACATCAGTGGCACTGACACTTAGGGAGATTTAAAAATCACGGTCGTAGGGCCCAGGGATTCACATTTTCATAAAGCTCCCCAGGTAATAGCCAGGTTTTGAAAAAACTGATCTTGATCTGCATTTCAGCAGAAAAACATTATCTGTGAAGCTTGATATGACTGAATAATCATCAGCAGCTTTGACCCTTCTAGTTATTTGAACCCAGTAAGTGAAACAAAAATTTATAACATCAGGTTTTTGCACTGATGATGAAATAAATCGAAGAGAAACATATTATTGAAAATTGCCCTTAATGTTGCTCCCAGCTAATCTTGAGGTTTTATTCCAAAAGAGGTATCTTTATGGGAGGCATAGCTTTCAAAACTCTGTATTCATTTCACATTTTGAATGTTTTTATTGCATTAAAAATAATATAACCTTGAAAATAAGTGGAATTCTAGAAGCTCCTCTAAATATGACATCTGTTTCTCCTATCAATGTTCTCATTTCACATATGGAACCTTAAAAAAAATGATGGATCTGATATACCAATATTTTAAGTTAATTTTATCGAAAGTACAATTACCTAGACTTAAATGAAATCCAAATAAAATACATATTTAAGGGGCTGGGGATTTAGCTCAGTGGCACAGTGCCTACCTGGCAAATGCAAGGTCGTGAGTTCAATTCCCGGTACCGGAAAAAAAGCAAAGGAAAAAAACCCAAAAAAACCCTTAGTTAAATACTAAATAAAAAAAAATACAGTTTCTGTGTTGGGCCAAATTCTATACATCAAACATACACATATATACATGGATGTAAGTACCTATATATGTATATATGTGTGTAGGTATTTGTGTGTGTCCTGTATTATTGAAAACGTACCACCCGGAAAAAAATTAGCATGATGAAATAGGCAGTATACATTATATCAGATGCCAAAAATTAAAAACAGTAGTGTTCCAATAGCATTAGTACCAGCAAAAAGATCACCAACAGCTAATCTGGCAGAAACATCAGAAGCTGTATGTGTTTAAATTAAGAACAATTTAGCAGCCTGGTTTTTCCAAACCCACAAAATACTAGTGTAAATCAGCATAAGTCAATCTGAATTTAGTCCACCGCTATCTTCCCTCTAAATTTAGGATTACATTCCACTGGAGTTTCATGAGGAATTCCTTTTGAATTTACTGTATTCCTCTATGCTTGGAGCCATCTGTGTAACTATAAATGGTGAACCACATCTGGCTCCATTTTCTTTGTAAGAGCTATATACATGATTAAATCTGCATATGAGAACAGTCTTTGAGAACCTTTTATTCATGAAAATGTTTTCGTATATTGCCGATAGTGATGACTGAGGGAGGACGACAGTCAAGTCTTTGTGCCCATTTTACTATTACCTAACTTTGCAAAAGTGAGAAATGTCAAACTGTAGTGGATGCCCTTGGTGCCTGTGGTCACTGGCATGTCCACAGGCAGCCATGGGTTTCAGCATACTGTAAACAAACACTCTTGATCAAAAACATGATAAGATCAAAATAGAAGCCAAAGAATTCCTCTCTACCTCAGGTCTTTTTTTTCTGATAAGAAATTCCATTTATTCTAACACTCAAGGGAATCCTAATGTGAGAGATGAGGAAGAATAAATTCTGAATCATCTATAAAAAATCCATAGGTACTTTATATAGGAAGATTGCAGGGGATGGGTGTTTGCTTTACAGAAACAGAGCTCTGAAAGGCTATGGATGGTCAGCAGTGTTCTTTTAAATTTTGAATATTAGATAACTATGTATCACAACATAGACACTTGATCCACCCAATTCTTAAAAAGGTTACTGTTATAAAATACAGGAAAACTTTAAAACTGGCATTAGATCAATGTCTCTCAAGGCGTTAGTATCTTAAAATCACCAACAGCTTCTCTGGACCCAATTTAAAATTGACTGAACTGGAATTGACTGGCGGTGGTAGTGGGGAGTGTGTGTGTGTGTGTGTGTGCACGGTGCAGAAGCTCTGCTAGTGTGGTGAAATTTACATTTCAGTAAGTTTTCTAGGTTATTTGCATATATTTTAGTTGAAGGACCATTGCATTCACTAGTTACATGGCCTTAAAACTATACAAACTTCAAAAATGGAACACAGCTTTACCACATTACAGTACAGAATTTCTCTCTGACCAAATAGAAAGATTTAATTGTAAAAAATTTATTCTTAACTTTTAAATTGAACATTTCTTACAGTTCTTATTTCTTGGCATTGTATCAAAAATGTTTTAGCATATTAAAAAAGACTCATACCAAATACTAACATGAGGGTTTTATCTTACCACATGATTCTCTAGTATGTCATATGTCAAGTAATAAACACATTCAACATTTCATTTGAGAAAGGAAGATGAGAATGCAATCTGTGAATCATATTTTTCTCCTGAAAAGTAGCCAATTTTGAATAACAAACAAATGCTCTCCTTTTAAAAACATGCTATCATTATGACTAACCAAACAAGGAGTACGTGTAGTTTTTGATGAACATAAGTTATTGGTAATGGTGAATAACAGTGTACTAAAAGAAAGGAGCTATAAAGAATCTTGGAGATGGTGCTGACTTTTGCAGTTTTTCCAACTATACTTGTGAAAACAGTTTTAGAAATCACATTGGAGAATTCTGTGGTTCTAGTTACTATATACATGTACTTGTTGGGTTTTGAGCTTTATTGACAATTTTTTTGACATTAAATTTTTTGACAGTCATTACACATATTTATTTCCATGCACTTCATATAAAACTGAAGTGTAAATAGCATAATGAAGTTTGTTTTTAGTGTGACAGGGAAAAAAATGTAGCTCAGGCATAAAACATTTTTTAAATAAACCTTTAAAGTCAGATTTACACTCTTAGATCATTTTCTAATATGGAAAGATAAAGTTTTATGGTGATTAAGTAAATATGAGAAAAATATGCCTGTCAAAATTCCATTTTTTGCATTATTCCCAGCAAAGTTTGATGCTTTTTACTCCAAGAAATTATGCTCAGTTAATTCTCACATTGAAGAAAAGAAGAAAATCCATAAGCAATGGCCAAATGGCTCTTCTTTTCTTCTATTTAGACCATGTCAAATTATTTGAAATTATAAGATGCTCTAGACAAATGTAAATCAATGAGAATTTCTGAATGTATGACAGTTCCATTACTTCACAAATATTTCCTTTTCACATAAACAATTTTCCAGTGCAATTAAAATTAGAGAGAGTGAAGCAATGAAAAATTTCAAATTTTAGTGTCAAAAGAATTGTGTTTCAGCTCTATAGTAGCACAATGGTGTGTGACTATGGAAGTCTCTTTTTCTAGAGTCTCAATTCTCTCATTTATAAAACAGAGGGATAATATTATCTTTTCTGCCATCTAATACGGTTGTGCAAACTGCATAACTACATTTAACATTTTCAAACATATCTAGATATACACCAATATAAACCTATGCATTATTCTATAGAGATGAAATATAAAACAGAAGGCATAATAAATAAATTAGGTAAAATTAATCAGAGTTGATGAAAAAGAGCCTGGAATAAAGCCATGGGGCCAAATGATGTTGTAGGAGGTCATGGCAAATCCCACATTAAGCTTTTTAGTCAGCACATCCTTGGCTGGAGGGCCCTGAGTGTTACTTTAACTGATGTTCTATTATTGGTAACGCTTAACACCAAGACACTGTACTAAGATAGGCAACATTAATAGGTAAATGACAAACCACTGGTGATGCGAACCACTGGAATAATGCCTAACATTAATTTAAGTAACTTTTCTAATAAGCCAAAATAAAGCTGAATCCACATACTCTCTAGGTATGATAATTTTAAAAATGTAAATTTAATTTATAAAACATAAAACACAGCTAAAAAGATAAAGATGTATTTGTAGCTCAGATGACTGTTTTCTAAGGTTTCCATTAATGATTAATAGAAACTATTGAATATACATACAGTTTTAAATAAATATAAAATTTACTTTCACATAAACCTGTATTTATCATTTATCAGTATCACAAACTAAAAACACTTTAAATATTGCATGCACACAGAGAGAAATATGTATACCACTTAGCTGTGGAGGAGAATTATGTTTCTAACATTACCAAATGGGATGAATTTCTCAAATACTTTAATTATGAAGCAAATTAGAAGATTTAGTCTTCTAAAATTTATATTGTGCTATGATGCCTATGTTTATCTTTTTAAGGAAAAATGATAACTGTTAAGTAAACGCCTGTATTTCTGCCAACACAAACATTCTCAGCTAATAAGCTGAACAGCCCAGTAGAGAGACCAACAGAGGTTCAAATACAAGGTGTATTACTTCCTATCTTTAAGAGTATGAAATACCCCTCAAAGTTACTTAGTTCTGGTTTGTCTATAAACTGGGTGCTGACAATTCCTACATTCCAAGGTGTTACGAGAATTTATAAAACTGAAGGTGGAGCCTGTGAGGCTCGACCTTGTGTTCAACAAATGACAGTGGTTGTTACTGGCAACAGACAATATGGTTTTCTGCGTAGTGACAGACTATTGCTGAGTAATGATAAGTTAAAAAACTTGTTTCCAAGGCCCTTAAAAGCCTTACTTTCTTTTGTAAATACACATATTTTTGCTAGCAACCATTGCTAATTCTTTAATCAGTGTTATATATTGTAACAACAAATGCTTTGATATAAAAGAGTTCAGGAGAATTAAAGAACACATAGAATTATGATTTACCTGTTATAAAGTTTATCATAGTTTTCCTTTAAAAGTTCCCGTTCCTTTTCTAAATCATTAATTCTATCTTGCAGCTAAAATGAAAAGAAAAGTATACATTAGGTGATTATTACACAAAACTACATGGAGTAAAAATACCATGAGAGGAGGATAACACATTTCAGCCTTGATTTCCAAACTGCATCTGCTAACTAACCACTTACACTGTCTGCATTTAATTCAGCATTGATTCTCTCCAAGCTGTTAAGTAAACATGAAATTAATATTCCTATTTTAATTCTGTAGAGACAGAGGTACTGCTTTATGACAACATATGCCAGAACTCAATAAAGAATGTGCTAAGAGCTTGCTGTTAAATTCTGGGAAACATAATATTTTTTCACTTTCTACAATGATGAATTCCACCATTATATTCATTTTGTATTAAGTTCCAATTGACCCATAAAAATAAAAGGATTAACTTTTCCTTAAGTTCAGGGTTTAAATAAACTGTCAGTCACTATTTGCTCTCAAGACACAACTTCTTTTATTATTCGGAATTTGCAAAAAGCCATTAGCATATCTTCTGAATAAACAAAATTAAATGCATTGTTTTAAACCATTGAATATTTTCAAAAATAAACTTGAAGCAATAGTATATCCTTATGACTAAAATACATATTTTTACACTTTAGTATTTAAAGTTTTATTCATAAGTATGCAGTACTGTTATAATTCATCCCACCATTCTAAAATTTTTTTTGATGATAATAAAAGGCAGTGAAAGAGTCTACCAAGGTCAAAATCAAATGTAAGAATCTTATTTCACCTCTGTTCTCCTTAGGAACAAGTTTAAAAGACTACAGAAAAAGGTTGTACTAGTTTGAGACACAAGTAGCAACAATAACAGGGAAGTTTGTCAAACAACTTCACGGAGGAAAAAGTAGGTAATTCCACAAAATTGCTGATGTTGCAGATATATCCCTATAATTTTGTTTGGGTATCTCAAATGACTAAGAATGTGTCAAAGAAAAGAAAGTTAAGTTCCACAGGTAATCTGGTATCAGATGTTATGTTTTCATTTTACCTGAGGACTTTTAATCCTTTAGGTAAAGAGCGGCTCTCAGCACATTTGCAAGTGCTGTAAAACACTGATTTGCCATTCATATACTATATTATATACTACGCTTTGCTGCGCTTAAAACACCACATATGTAGCTTAGACTTTAAAAATAAACACAGAATTTGAAATGTCTTTATTTTACTTTTTCAAGACAGTTTCAGAGACGTTTCAATGCAGCAGATTTCTGAACTCTTTGGGAGCTTACCTCTTCTATTCTCCTTTCAGAAAATGTCACGGAATGTAATTGTTTCTCAAGACTGCAGCATTTTAAACGCTGCTCTTTCAGCTGCATGTTTAGTTCATCTCCATTTGCCATCAAAGCATCATGGCTGATCCTGAGAGTTCTTTGCTTCTAAGGATCAAAAAGAAGAAATTTTAAACAATTTTTGAATTGTGCTTTGAATAAATTATTACAATTCTATGAATGAATTTACTCCTGAAATTGACACTGTGCAGCTTATTCTCCACATCATAAACAATTAGGAGATCCTCCCAACCGAGATGTGACACGAGGGAGAAAATAAAGGGTTATCTCATACAAAGTCATACAAGGAAAGCAAACTGCTCTTGTCCTTTATTCACTCCTACTTTTTGACTTGTCGATAGTAACCAGTAAGTAAATTGGTGTTACCAATGAAAGGTTTTTCTTTTTACTGTATTTACAGTGACTGGACATGCTGTCTAAAAACGCTGACCACTGATATTCAAACTGAGAGGATTTGCCACTATAACATATAAACAGATGCAGGTAGTTAGCATTTCATTTTAATACAATAAAATGAAAATTCCCAATTCAGTAGAATAGTTGTCTTATTATTCTATTTATGAATGTACTTTATATTCAATTTTATGAATTTAAATGTCACATACATCTTTTATAAATAAAAGATAATTATATTAAAGTCTTTTCACAGAGAACATATGATCAAAACATGTAATGCCCAACTTTCTAATTAAAGTCATTTCAGTCTGAGTCATTTAAAAGAAACATGATGACTGGGCTACCTTGGGTTAAATTTCATTAATCTTGGTGTCGTTAGCCTATTTTCTTTGGGCTTTTCACTTCATTGAGGCTATTGGCCTTGACCTTTCAAATGCTTATGTCATTTCCCAAGAGAGACCTGTACTACAGCAGACACTTGTTACTGTTGCTATTTAAACAAATACCTGGGGGTCACTGTTGAGTGAAAATCAACAGTCGAAGTGATAAGAGAATGTAAAATAATTTTCAATTCTTTTCTTAATTCTTCATTTTAGAAATTGTTTTTAACTCCATGTATTTTTAATTCTCCCCTTCTATCTATCTTCAGATGGGACTGTTATCCCCCGCTTGCTATCTCCTCCTTTACCAACCGGCACATATATAGAGAAGGTAGTTATTAGCTGGCATTTAAAGAGATTCGTACAGAATGTAAAACACTAACCAGGGTATGGATGAAAATATTTAACTATTTAATTCAATAGTGAATTTGGGCTTCAGATGACCCTATGCTTTACATCAATTTACTGCTTTCCTTGTCTCAGTTCTTCAAAGAAAGTATTGCTTAATATAAATTCTGTTCATCTGGAATGTTTTGGAGTTCACTAATTCCAGAACCTATGTTAATTATGCAGTGCCAATAAATAGGAACTCTCTCATGGCACATTACTGTGGAACCACAGTCATTGTTGAAACAACTATGGACATTAAGAATCTTAAGTACTGTCAAACTGAATTGCTAAGGTTTAAAATAAACACACTGTTAATGGATATCACAGATACTCACACAATTTCTGATAATAGTGATGACTAACCAAACCAAACCAAATCAAATAAAACCTAATCCATATCAAAGAGAGATTTAACAGCATGGTCATGACCAATTCATAATTCTGGCCTAATTCTAATATTTTATAAATTCTTAGAGTTGAAGATACATGAAAATATAGTAAAATCTTCCATGGTATAAGCCCTTACTGACTCAGAGAAAAGGAATTAAAAATAAAATTCATGGAAAGAAATTATTTATGATAAGTGTTTATTAAGACAAACATATTTATAAAAAGTCTAAGTGGTTAATTGTTTCTCCAGCAATAAAGTTATTAATAAAAATATATGAAGACAAATTACATATATTTGAGAATTTTAAAAAGCAATCTTTAAAAATTACTTTTAGTGTTAAGACTACTGTTTTACTTCAACATACAACCAAAACAATATCCTAATATATTTTGCATCTAAGTGTCATAATAGAACAACACAGTACCTCTTGAAGCTGAATAAATTTTCCTTCCATTACTGAAAGAGCATTGCTTTTTTCCACCAGTTGTTTATGAAGCCTAATCATTTCTACATTGTCTCGAATATTTGACCTTCAAAATTTAAGAAAAGGCATAAAAAAGTATGTTGAAAGAAAAAAGCTGACTGGAATCACACTGTTTTAATTAATGTTACTTAAAAAATTTATACATTTGCATATCAGGCACCGTTTTTAGATTATTTAAAAATGAACCAATAACATTTGTGAACTCTCATAAACAAACTCAGAATTTGAAAGGAGGCCCCAAAATTGATGACGATGTCACTTGTGTAACAACTGATAATATGGATTTAAAATCATTTGAGTGCCCTGAAAGATTAGTCTTTAGCATAGCAACAGTTCCACCACCACACTTGATGTTTATTTTAAGAAGCACTATCATGCTACTTTTCCCTAAAGGAAAAATATGCAATACTGGCATTCATCTTCATACCAATCCCTCAGAGCAAATGGTATCATAAGATTACCATTTATTGGAGTTTCCTCTTAGAGTTTAAACTTTTCAAAATATTTCCAAGAAAAGTGACTTAGCATTTTATACTAATAATGCCCAAAGCTGGCATTTAAATATGTTGCAGATGTGCCTTTAGCTGTAAGAGATTACTTGATGTCCACAGGGTATATAGAAACCCTATATGCTGCAATACTATTTTGTGTTTTTTCCTACTGAGATTAAAGCAAATGTAGAATTTAATAGGAAGATTTTGTTAAAGGTTAATCATAGATCTAAATGAATACCTGTTTGAAAAGGTATTTATTTTCCTGACAGAAAACGGTTTCTTAATTTAATGTGTTTTACATTTAAAATATTTTTAAAATTATGAAGCTTGCTTTTAGACTCCATTTTTGAAAGAAAAATCAATGTAACATTTTTAAATTCAGAAAATTACTTCAGTATTAAAGTAAGTGATTTTACTTTTAAAACTTATCTAGTATACACATCTTGGAAAAATTGTTACAATGCCCTACTGAAACCAGAAAATGGACTACAAAGCTCACACATCTGTAAACCAGCTGAAGACTTGAAATACTTAATTTTCCTCTTTGATATTTGAAAGTTCATTGTATTTTGGCATTGGACAGTTAGTTGTCCTCACAGAGGAGATAAACAAGTCCAAGAGTCTGGATCTTGCCCAGGGTAGAGTCTTAACACAATGTTAGAATAATTATGAGTCTAAACCATGTTATCTAGCAGTTCTGGGTGCATATTTGACCATATGCTCACTGTTATTCCCCTCCATATTGCCTTTATTCACCAATATATACATACATATTTATAACATGAAGAAAATTTTAAATAAAATATAAAGACAGCACTCATCTTTTTCATATTTAGAAGCCAAAATATAATTTACCTGTTTTCCCTCGAATTACTTGGTTCAATAGTGAATAGCATTTATTGATGTGGAAATATAGAATATGTTTCAAATAATTTAAAGTCTTTCCTTATATTTTCTGTTGTTGCTGATTTTTTTCCTGGTAGTGTTGGGGATTGAAAACCCAGGGCCTTATGCATTCTAGGTAATGTTTCTGATATTTTACTTTAAAACAGATTAATCCTTCCAAGAAAAATCATATATATTTGAAAAATAACTATTGCATAATATTAGGAACAATTAAAATTTCAATTCATTCTTCCACATAAGATCATAGACAGATTTTAATTTTCAATTTTCTTCATAAGGCAAAAGAAAACAAGCATATTTCAAAAAATTTTCAGTTGTTTAATTGGTAGATGCTTTTGGGACTATTTTCCTAACCTCTCTGGAGTTTAGACTCATTATAATATTGGCAAGAAAAGTTGCAGAACATTTTATACTAATGATGCCTAACAGTGGACATAAATAGTATTTAGAAAACAGTAGTAATGTGGTACTTATGAAAAGAGAAGGATAACTTGTTAAGCTAAAAGTGCTAATCAGAGATATATAAAATACATATATGTTCAAATCAGTAATGTGATTAATGGGGTCTGGCCTCTAAGAAGATGAACAATCAAATCATCTCAAACCTGACAATCCTTCAATGTTGTTACACAAATGAAAAATGAGAAAAGAATAACGGTACAAATGATAAAGAAAGCAGGAAGCAGATGTCACAAAAAGATGACAGGAAGTATGAGATGGATGACAGGAAAGCAGGAGCTGGAGTCACTGCTAAGTGGCCAGTTATAGATTTTGATGCCTGTTGAGCAAGGCCTCAGTCTGGCCTCCTCTGAAGAGGAGATACAGGGCTATTATGGGCAGTATTTTAAGTGACCTGCATGTAATATTTTTAACTGTTCTTCCACACACTTTGATAGGAACACCAAATATTCAGGATGATGACATTCTAACAGCAGGAACAATGCAAAGGCAGATGAACTCTATGACAGTCATGCACGGCTTTGTACATGCTGCACTACACACAGTGAAACGATCTGCAGACAGTTATCAAACACAGTAATTAAGTGCATTGAAAAAACGAATTTCTCCCAATTTTCAAGAAGGGTTTTGAAAAAAAAACCATAAATGATTAAGGTAGAAAATGCAGTTTCTTTTCTTTCTCTTTTTCATTCTTCTTTATTCCTTTTACAGACATATGATTCATAATTATGCTCAATTCTTCTCATATTATGAGAAGAGCTGTTGGCCCATCTCTAGATTTAAAACAAACTGAAATAAATTAGATTTTATGTTGAAAAAAAGTAATCCAACTCAAAATACTGTGTGCCAAGTTTCTTTCATATAATTTGAAACAGTCAAGCAATAAACTCAGAAAAAGGAATTTCTAATGGAAGCCTTGAAAACACTTGACTCCAGCTTTGCTACTGGGTGCCATAATAAATCCAGAAACTTAAAACCTCAGATACACTGGAGAAGGAAAAATTTTCAGTGGAGCTATGTAATGTATCGTCTAATATGAAAGTTTAAGCAGCAAAAATCTTGCCTTCAGTGAAAGTTTCATATGTTGCACTCCCCAGGCACTCAATTCCCCTCCTCCACCCCTACCAATCTTTCAGTCTTTGCTACAGTAAAGAGTATGACAGTTAAAACCAAAAAAAGCCTCTTGATGTTTTTGAGACTAAAATGTTACAGTATTTAATACCATTTAGACAAGCAGGGTCTAAAACACAAGCTAGGCTATAAGATTCTGGGAAGTATTTAGGTCAAATATTTATGAGATAGAATACAGAGGATCTTTTTGAGCAACAGTTCTAGGTTAAACTAAATCTGGGTGATAAAGCTATAAACAACATCAGGGTTAAAAAATTAGCTTTCATTTTTTTCAAACAGGGGTTGACCAAGAATACTTTTGAAAGAAGTTTAGGTCAGTCACAGTTCTTATTAGAGATACATGCATAACATCCCTTGCAAAGGTATTAATATGAATAGGACCACAGAAGGCTGACACGAAAATGAGTGGAACAGGCTTCACTAAGATAGCCAAGGAGTTTATTTGAAAGGTAATGGTTTTACTCAAAACTGTTACTTGAGGTCATGGGTTAAAGTAAGTCTTCCTGATTTAGACTAGGGAAAAATTTGTCCGTGTATGTTTATTTGCCTCAGGATTATAGCTTTACACTGCCACCACTCACAGGAATGGAGGGCACACATCTATTGGGCTCTCTATATGCATATGAAAATGGAGAGGACATTCCCGAAGATGAGCTTGGGATAGGAGTAATCCAAATCCTTCCTTATTTCTTAAGATGAACACGTGTACAATCAAGTTCAATGGATTTCAGCTACAGATTTATAGTAACAGGAATGGGAATCTGCAGCTATTAGTTAAAATTTAAAAAAGACCAATGGGAAATGTAGATCAACCAGCAATTTAGTTGCAAAAGTGGACTAAAGGATTATGCCAATCCAGTGCAGTAACACAGGTTATTTCATATTAACAGATGGAATGACTGGCATGATTTAGATTTTTGATGACTACAAAATGAAAAATTAATTAAGATTACTGAGTAGGCAAAATCTTTCAGAAACACCGGGTTCTCGTAGATAGAAGTTGACTGTTGTTTACAGAGTGGAGAACCATTCACCCACGTCAATATACTCATTGTACAGTTCAGGTTGCTAACTGAGCTTCACAGAATAAAGAATTTGACTAGAGTACTTAAGTGGTGGTGACAACACTCAAATCTAGCTTTAAGAACTAAATCTTTCTCATTCTTTTTTAAGTGGCTTTCTTCTTCTAAGATGTTCTAAGTTCTAACATTCCTTCCACAGACATATATGCAACAACAAACTATTTACTCTGAATTGCAACAATTTTTGCAGCTTATATAAAATGTTGGGATCTGGATGTGGTGGCGCACACCTGGAATCCCAGCACCCAGGAGACTGAGGCAGGAAGATCATTGTGAGTTTGAGGCCACCCTAGGCTATAAAGTGAGCTAAGAGTAGCCTGAACTGCATAGTGAGACCCTGTCTCAAAAGGTCCACCGCCCCCCCAGCCAAAATGGGGAAAATAGATCAAGCTGCCCTCTAGAAAAACCTTAGATTTTATTAATAATAAAAAAATGTGGATAAAATCAATGGTATTGTGGTACAATAGTTATCAATGGACAAATTCTAAGATACTCAAAACAACAGTCAGAGTTTGGTAGTAATTTTTTTTTTAAATGACAGATCACCCCTCTGTGTAATAATGTTTGCATGCTTATCCCTCGCCCCAGTTATCCTTACATCAGAGAACCAGATGTGCCCTCTAAATTAGAGGGCTGGGCAATCAGGCAAATCCAAATTGAGGGGCATTCTGCAAACAACTGTCAGTGTACTGGAAAAGAATAGGGAACCACTGTAGAATAAAGCAGTAGTAAAAGACCTGACAATTTAATGTGACACATGACCCTCAGTGGATTCTAAAGTAAAACAAAAAGATATTAGTAAAAGAAAAAAAACTGCTATAAACGACATTTTTCAAACAATAGGGGAAATTTGGATATAGACTGTGTATTAGACCATGTTACTGTACCATTCATTGTTAAATGATCTTGATAGCTGTTATGAAAGAGGACGTCCTTGTTCCTTGAAGATACTCATAATGTACAGAGGGTGAAGTAATACATGTGCTTAAATGGGAGAGGGAGAATGGAAGGGAAGAAGAGAGGGGGACCAAGAGGAAGATGAAAGAGACGAGAGGAGGGTAAAGGTAAGAGAGGAGAGCAGAGAGGAGGAAGAGGAGGGGAGGAGAGGAAGAAGGGTTAGTGCATAAGCATGCATAATACAGACACAGGCTGCCGTGCCGCACACAGCTATGCTAAGGGGACATAGGGCACGTGAGTGCTCCCTCTACTATTTTTTCTACTTTTCTGTAGGTTTGATCTTTTCCAAAATGAAAAGCCAAGGAAGAACTTAGAGTGCAAGGAAGTAATCCTGTTTCTGTGCAAAGGGGAAACACTGCGCCCCTCAAGCCAAGCTGTTTCTTATAACGCATGGCTGCAAGAGGCCTCTGAGTTGTAAGGTTTGACAGTTCTCTGTCTGCCAAGAAGAAAAGGGCAAGTCGGAGTGTCTGAAATATATATGGGTTAAATTTCCTCCATGGGGACATTACGGCACTTACATGATTTTTAATTAAGAAGGTAAACATTCTAACATTTATTTCAAAAAACACTTGCAGAAACATTAAAGTTTCACATTTGGTAAGAGTATAAATATTTTTGGAGTTGAAAAAGTCAATAAAAGGTAAAATCATTCTGATTTTAATGTTCATGTACATGTGTTCACTGGTTACTGCTTTGCATTTAATTTAAGACAGCCTTTTTAATAAGCAGAAAATGTGTATTTTTATATTGTTTAAATTTTAATATGGATTTTTGTTCAAAACAACACAGACATTCAGGCTACTTGTAAATGATACAAGATTTTTTGCTAATGAGGCATTATGTAGAACATATGCAAAAATCACAACTCAGTCTTCCAAAATAGACCACAACAACAGGAAAAAACATGATTTTAATAAAAAAGAGCAGCACTGGGCTTTTACTTCAAAGCAATTAAGGGCTTTGGATAACCAAAAGTTTATGTCAAGCTGATGCCAAACCAAACTGGTCTATTAAACACATACTATGAAGACTTTCTGTAATATTCTATGAAAAGGCTCTCTGCCATAAATATCAAGCACCGCCACTCTGAAGATTACAACTATGTTAGGTTCATGTTTGAGAACAAGGGGTCCAACATCCAGATCAGACTTCTAGAATTTCAAATCTGAAATAATGTATCCGTGAAAGAGAAGTTTAAATATGTTTTCCATTTTGTGATTTTTCTCTACAGTAAATTAGACCAAGTTTTATATTCTCCCCAACATTTTTTTCAAGTTTTCCATTAGTCTCAAAAAATTGCTGTTATACATAAAATTTTGAACTACGTGTAAACATATTTTTAAAAAAGACTTAAAGGCTTTATTGTAAGTTGTTTCTTCAATTTCAAAAAATAATATGCTTTTCACTATAGGTATCCTTACTCCTAAGCAAGTAACATGTAAATTTTTACTTTTATAAAATCCGTGATTTACTTCTTTGGCCTATGTAACAAAAGTTTGCCTACCTATACTACTAATTTGTTTGTGCTTCTAATTCTTGATGTCACAGAAAGACTGTTTTTTTCTTTGTTTGTGTATGTGGAAATATAGCTCCCTGAGGAAGGCCTTAGTTTAGTTTCTAAGGTTAAATCCTTCTATAGTATATGATGGCCTCTCTTACTGGCAATATTTATTTATTGAATAATAATAAAGACACGTGAAGTACGTGTCCTTGTCTATCCCTCTATTTCTGTTGTTGCTGTAGTCCTAGGATTGAAAGACTTTTAGATCTCCTTTTCAACTAACAGTAACTGTAGCTCCAAAATAATCGTGTCCATCTTGGACAGCAAACAGTTAACATACACAGTGTATCTTACTGTCTGGGAATTTGAGAAATATAATAGGGAAAGCAGTCCCTGATAATCAAATGGTTGGATAAAGCTGATAGGGATGAGCCCCAACTTGAGTTTGGCCTATGTGAATCTTTATGTTTAGATAAGGTCTTAAATATGGCTGTTGGCAATTAGACTAAGACCACCACGTTCAGTGTTGGAGTTTGGTCCTCTGGCACTGTTCCTCACAAGGAACCATTTCTTGATTTTCTAAGAAGGCTGAGTCTAAATCACTTCTTCCTAAGGGAACATGGTTAACTCCTAAGTATTTGAGCTGGTTTAAAGCCAGATTTCAAACTAAATCCCTTTATTTCACTATAATTCTCAAAAATATTCATGTTTCTTTTACCCTGTACCTTTTAGGGCATATAATATTATTACATACTATATGAGAATTTCCTTATGTAATTAGTTTTTATGCATACCTTTTTAGAAATGGGTATTAGAGGTTATACTAATCTTTTAAGTCTTTTACACATAATGATTTTCATATTTTTTAGCCCACCTTTTTAAAAAAAGAAGTCTCAGATTATGTATCTTTTCTTAGCTTCTGCATATATTATCATGTAAAGTTAGTTTGTTTTGAGAGGGTTAACCTCTGAATCTGAACAGCTAGGAAACCTTACTTGGTCTTTCTATATAAGATCTTGGCTACATATGCATAATAAAATTGGAAAGGGGGGAAATAAGTAAAGGAACTATATCTGATTTAAAAAAACTGAGTAATGCAAGGGGCAAGAGATACAATAACCAAATGCAATATGTAGGCCTTATCTGGATTATTATTTGGACTCCTAAAAACTATCATCAGGAAAATTTGAATATAAACTGGTTATTAGATGATATCAAAGAATAGGCATTAATTTTGTTAAGTGTTACAGTGGCATAGTTGTTATGTTAAAAAAATTCCTTATCAGACAGATTCACTCTGAAGTATTTATGAGTGACAGGCTATCTGGCTGGGGCTAATTACTGTAATTCAAGAGAACAAGGGTGAAGAGATAGATGAATTAAGATTGGTAAGGTGTTATTAATTATTAAAGCTAGAAGATGGGTGTATTGTTTAATATATATTACTTTCTCTGCTTTTGGGTATGCTAGGTTCAAAACAGGAAAAAAACAGGGATAGAAAGGGAAAAAGGGATGTGACTCAGGGGGCAAGCACATGCCTAAAATGCATGAGGCCAAGTTCAATCCCTAGCACTGGAAAAAAGAAAGGAATGAAGGAGGAATAAACAAATACATTAATAACAAAAAACATAAAACAAAGAGAAGACAGGAATAAGCAATAAAGGAAAGAAGAGAATTCAAGAAAGAATATGGTAAAAAGATGGTCTTGATGAAAATATGTCCAAGCACAAAGCAAATGCATGGGAATCAGGAACCAAAACAGGAAAAAAAGGGTATGAATGAAAAATATTATATTTTATAAAATACAAAAGATGCAAAGGTGGCAAGGAAGCTACTGATAGATTTTACCATAACCCACAACAATGATGTATTTCAGTGCACATTTTGAGTATCAGGAGACATAGCATCTTTTTGGGACCACAAACTGCAACTATATTATACAATTTACTACTTCTTAAGATTGAAAAAACATACATAAGGTTGCCTTATACAGACAGCAGGCCAAGAGCTGAGTTCTTGGTAACCATACTTCTCTCAGTAGCTATAATAAATTGGTATCAACTTCCTGTAATCATGGCAAATTGGGCAAATAACAGAAGAAACAAGGTGTTTCCAGCCGTCAAAAGCTGCTTAAAAACTCATTTTGAGGGCAGGTCAGAGAAAACTGCCTCATATAGGAGTTGTTAATAGCAGCAGGTTTCAAGCAGGCCTATATGAAGAATGTTAAAGAAAATCATCATTTTTAAATAGACTAGATAAACTTCTCTTTTTATGGAACATGATCAATTTTAAACTAGCTTTGACCTTATCAAAGTGACTGTTCTAACATACCTTTGATCTGTAGCTTGTTGTTCTCGAATGTGAAGGAGAGATAACTCAATTTCATTTTCTTTTCTCTTCAACTGAGTTTTCAGGACATCAGCTACTTGCTCTAACTCTTCTATCTGTGCTCTCTGTGACTGAATAACATTTTCTCTGAAATAAAGAGCCTTTATAAGAACTTGTAGTTTGAGCAAATATTTGTGGTACTTAAGATCAGTGCAAAGACAGTTCTTCATAATAAAAAGCAAGCAAAAACTCAAAACTTCAGCTATTAACTGTCCCTGCACATAGTGAAATAGCACCTACAGTGAAACAGTACCAGCTTGAATTTGACAATTTGGAAATACATATGGAACAATTCAAGATATTACTTTTACAAGATAATTCACTAGGCAATAGATTGGTCTTTGGTTCAATTCAGTGGAGTGGATATTGATCACCTAACTGTGTACTCTGCAATCTGGTCTTCAGATAATGCATATGCCTTTGTTCTCATACAGTATATGCACATCTGCCTATAATACCCAAATTAACACTTCAGAGGGAGAAGGCAGGAAATCTGCAAACATAATTTACTGATCTCTGGCATGCATTTATCTCTTCTATGTCTGGCAGTAGCCCAGTGCCATGAGCCTCAGGAAATTGGTACGAACCCTGGTTTTCAGCTGATTATCAGGTAAAAAGATTATGTCTAGTCTTTTATTTTCTCACAAACTAATCATTACTGTAACTGTTATTTATTTATTTATTTATTTTTATTGAGACAGAGTCTTGCTATACTGTTCAGGCTGGCCTTGAGCTCACTTTGTAGCCCAGGCTGGCCTCAAACTTGCAATGATCCTCCTCCCTCAGCCTTCCAAGTGCTGGGATTACAGGTATGCGCCACCACGTCCGGCTTGTAACTGATATCTAAAACATCACAAAAGAAACATTTTGAGTCCATCTTATTCTAAACCAACTATCTGGGGCTGGGAATTTAGCTCAGCGGCAAAGCGCCTGCCTGGCAAGTGCAAGGTCATGAGTTTGATTCCTGGTACTGGAAAAACAAAAACAAAAGCAAAAACAAAACTATTGTATGACACTCTTTGTGTCATGTTCTTTTTCCTCATTAAGTGTTACTGCTTTGTGATGATCCAAGTGAAGGTCTATAGATAAGGTAGAACCTTAACTTTTTGTGACTCACAGACCCTGAAACTACAAGGCTTTGATTAACTGCAAAAGAAAGCCAAATGTTACAGAAGTAACTTTTTTGAAACCATGATGTCATGAAGAATGCAGTACTGTAGAATCATGGGGAAACAAAATCTGAAATCTATATGCATCTGATAAGCCACTTGTTCTTTTTTAAAACTACGAAAAGGGCTAATTGATTCAGAGTCTTTAAAAAGCAATTACCTGTAATTTTCTGGGAATGAAAATGTTACTTCTAAAGCTTATACTATGCTAAATAATTTGATTTTATGTCATTTCTTTGGGGTAAAACTATAATAAAGAGGACAAGTCTATAAACCCTTCCATCTATGCGATGGGATAAGTTATTCACTTCCTTTATTTCACTGAAAACATGTCATGTAATACCTGTTATTATCCCACAGGACCAGCTCTGTATTTTAGTGAAGCAAATTATTTATACATGGTTCAATTTTGTTTACAATGAAGGAAACAGAGGGATTAAAACAAGACATGATCAATAAACAAAGTTCTAAAATGACCATGAAAAGGAATACATACAAATTTCTTATTTCTCCTTTGGCTTCTTCAAGTAAACTACTTCCATATTTTGTAAGGATGGGTTGTGCAGTTTCTGCTACATCTACATCTTGGAATCTTATACCTAAAGATAAAGTAATAAAATATGATTACACAACTCAAGTTAGAAAAGATCCTTGATTTGCTATCTCAGGGATATTTATAATACAATAAAATTTCTTAACAAGTACTAAGACATACGCGTTCTGTAGTACAGAGAATTAGAAATACACTGCTACCAGGAACATTAGGTCTTAGTCATCAGTAGGCATCAAATAAAATGCAGCAACACATATTACCCATGTTACAAATTCTACAGAAACCAAATTTCCTAGAAATAATTGGATTCAGCTCAAGACTTAGAATTTCTGCAGCAATTCTGAAAGAAGCACAATCTTTAATACAGGCCTTTACAATGTAAACTGAGGTACAATGAACAAAGTGTTCAAAACCTTGATTTAGTGTTTCTGATAATTTTTAAATTTTACAATGAATTATTCATATTCCTTGACCTTACATACGTAAGTCAAAATGTTTCCTGTACTTTGTTACTCCACCTCAGTGATAAAATCTATATTTAACCAAATGTGAATCAAGAGAATTCCTTTAAATAAAACAGTTCCCTGCTGAGATTAAAATATAATTTTTATTATAAAAATAGTGGATGTACTGGCATGGTGGCATCCACCTACAGTCCTTGCTTTTTGGATGGTGGAAGCAGGAGGACTGCTTGAGCCCAGGAATTTGAAGCTAGGCAATACAATGAAACCCTATCTCTTAACAAAAAAATCTATATGCGATTTTATAATGATAGCCTCACTGTTAAGAATGAAACATACTTTTAATTTATGTAATCTACATCTGTAGAAAATTTGAATTCTTAGAGTTTAAGGTAAACTATGATTTTTTGTTTTTTTTTTTGGTCTTTTTGAGACAGGGTCTCACTATGCAGTTCAGGCTGGCCTTGAGCTATGTAGCCTAGGCTGGTCTCGAACTCGCAATGATCCTCCCGCTTCACCTTCCCAAGTGCTGGGATTATAGGCGTGTGCCACCACGCCCGGCCATGACATATTTTTAAATGGAGAATAGCTCAAGAAAGTATAGAATAGATTCTTTTTCTTGTATCATACAAGACATAAAGTTTTGAGGTACATATTGTTAAAAATAACTATAATTAGATTAACAGAACTACTTCTTACTCTTTCCATTATGTTTAATATCTACTTCTATAGCCTGCATTAAAGGATAGAAAAGGCTCTGCCTAAAATATTCAAAGAGTTCACGGTCGAATTTGCCAGTTATATTGTTCTGGAAGTAATGCTAATTCTTAAGCTTTTTTCTACTTCAATCATGGGAAAATCCAATAGGAGCAGAATTAAAAAATACTCAATACATATCTTAAAATCTAGTCTTATAGTGATTTGCTAACGGTTATATTTTAAAGCATACACACTTTTCAAAGGTCTTTGTTCCACTGGGTTTTTGTGGTACCGGGAATCAATCTCAGGACCTTGCACTTGCCAGGCAGGCAGTGTGCCACTGAGCTATATCCCTGGTCCCTCCATTGGTCCTTAACAACAGACACTTTCTATTGTAACACTGGTCACACCTCAGCCAGTGCTTTCTATTCTTTATCCCACAGAACAGAGAAATGACAGTGTCTGTACCACAGCTTGTGGGTAAAGCCTGCCTGTGGCTGGAGAGGGTCTGGAGTCCTCACCAAGCTCCTTCAGGCTGAGAAGTTTAGCCTAAGGTCCAGCCTCAAGGGAAGTTCTGAAGAGTCTACTATGATTACTTGGGTATCATCTTTGGTAATCTTGCTCAGATGTACTCACAAAGACATTAAGAAAGTTTTCAGCACCGTTTAGCTTTCTGAAACTTCCATGTCCTGGATCATAAGAAGTGTAAATGGTATGAATCACTACGAGCATGACAGTAAGGAGAAATTTAACTTTGTAGTCACTTTAAAAATTATTTTAATTTTTATTTTGATAGAGGGTCTCACTAAGTTGCCCAGGCTCTGCTCAAACTTGTGATTCTTCTGCCTCAGCCTCCAAGAATGCTTGGAGGACAGGCATGCACCATTATACCTAGCCATGTAGTCATATGTTTAAAGACTGCTGCCTTGTGCCTTTTCAACTATAGGGAGAAACTTCTATAGATATCTTCTACTTACACAGCAATCTGTACACTAGGTTAACTTGCCATTTTAGTCTAAAGTTTAGGTATTATTTTTATTCAGTGTAAAAGACTTTGCAGACCTCAGTGATCAACTTGTCCACTTACATTCTCAGATGGCAAAACTAAGGTTCAGAGAGGATAACTGTTTTAGTGAAGTCAAAATGTATTATGGAGGGGTCTGGGGATTTAGCTCAGCGGCAAAAGCGCCTGCCTGGCAAGCGCAAAGTCGTGAGTTCGGTTCCCGGTACCGGAGAAAAACCAAAAA